ACTGACGATGTCTGGGAATGATGGAAAGCACATCATGTTTCAATAGTGCTGCTGACAGGGCAAAGCCATCATGACAGATGTTATAGAAATATCAGAATCCCACTGTGAGTTTATGAATCAAGATATTATTATACTCAGTTAATAACAGTGATTAGAATTATTGAAAAGAAAGTTTCAAAGCACATTATTCATTCTGCAAAGAAGTACTAAATAGTAAGAAAAGAGTACAAAATAGAACTTCTGGGAATGAAATATTAGTAGTGATGAGTCAGTATATAGTGATGAGTCAAAACTTTAAACTAATAAAATATCAAAACTCTATGGTAGTCTACAAACTCCTGATGTGGCTACAGTGACAGAAAAATGTAACATGAAATTTGTCAAAGTGCAGATATAAACAGTAATTGCACCCTTATAGTAAAATTTAAACATGCCAACCCATCCAGACTAGTTGTAAGGAAGATTGTTGATAAGGAAAAAAAGTGATAAACAGTCTCCTATTTATATATACTTGAATGGCCACTTTCTCATTGATGATGGCAGCCAGGAATTTGAGTAGATAGACAGCTGTTAAAAAGCCTTGATCAGGAATTGCCAGTAGCCATTTTGAGCATAAGACTTATTTTGAAATAAGTAGGGTCACAGAAGCAAGTTTATTATTAAGAATGATTTTTAAAATATACTTTAAAAATTGTTTTAGTCCCTTTGAATAAGAATTTTCCAGCTTTTGAAGATAAAACAATCCCATTCTCATAAGTAAAATTATTGGGTCAAGGGTAAACACATTTACATTTTTAATAGTTCCTGCAAAATTGCTTCTGGAAGCAGACTGATTCACGTATCCATCCATTTGGTGAGGGAATCTATTTCCTCACACCATTGCCTACTGTCTTTTTAATTTATGTCTTCCTGATGGGTGGAAACCGAATCTCATTTATTGCTTTGATTTGCATATAGCTAATCCCTAGTGTAGTTAATTACAATCACTTAAATTTAGTAGTCATTTATGTTTTCTATCCAGTAAAATAGTTTTTATTTCTATAGCTCATTTTATAGGATTATTTGTATTTTCCTACGTATTAGTAGGAGTTGCCCCAAAACTTTGGATAGTAAATATTTGTTTGTTAAATGTGTTGCAAATACTTTCTCCTAACTTATCTTTTTAGTTTTTCATGATGCATTTTTCCAAGCTTTGTCCAAAATTCTAAAATATTGATGGCACTCAATTTTTTGCATGAGTTTTACATTTTATATGTTGTGGACTAGTAGGCAAACACTAAGAGTTCTGTCATTTAACTTTTTGTCCAAGAATTTAAAACTGTGAACATTTAACCTACAATTCTTTCTTAGATGTTGCTTTATGGGATAAGTCTTTTAATTGTTTCAGCATTGTTGTTGTTGTTGTCCCACATAAATGTATACTTACCTGTTTTTTTTTCTCTCATTGAGTTTATTGGTACATTTTAGGTATACAGTACAGTTACATTCATCATTGGAATCTTGTACCTTTACATGACAGGTCTTAGTTCTCATTTTTTCCCCTTGTCCCTGCCCTCCCTTCACCCTCTCCTCCCCTCCCCATTTACAAACACTTTATTTCCATTTTTTCATTTTCTCATTTTTTTCTTTTCCCTTATTATCTTTCCCCTACCCTTCCAATTTCCCCTACACCTTTAGCCCTTTTCTTCCTATTTCACATTGTCAATTATATCATTAGAATCTTACATACCTTATAATTATTCACATCAGAGAAACTATTTGGTATTTATATATGTGTGACTTATTTATTTCACTGAGGAGTATATCCTCAATGTGTATCCATTTTCCTATGAATGACTCTAATTTCTCATTCTTTATGGCTGAGTGGTATTCCTGGTTTAAATTTAGAGAATTATATGTTTATGGTGGTCCTCTATGGCTTCATTCTTTTATCTTAATTCATTTAATGATTCTGTTTATTTCTCTCATTTTGTTGAGTAGCTTTGAGGTTATTTTTGTTAATTTGTCCACCATTTTCTAATGAAGCAGGTGAAGATGTTAAATAGCATGCTGGTGTATATGCTGAAGTCTGGGATTTCACAGAGATCAACTTCAGGGGTTGTGATGGATCAGCTCAAGTAAAACAAGTCTTAGACCTGGCTTGGGCTGCTTGGACAAGCAGAAGTCTTTGAAGATGGCTAAGAATGTCACTCCACCTACCCTGGGTGAGGACTGTGCCAGAGAGGCTGCCCCAGGAATTTTCTTGGCATTCCCTCAAGTTTGCAAGAGGATAAATGGTCCTGTGGTGGTCTCTGTGATTCATGGTACCCACCAGGTTATCCATCAGTTCAATTGGCATAAACGCTAGGTCTTTTCCAGGAGCAACCCACCAAATGGCCAGCCTTGCTTGTCAGTATCTCTTGGAGGTTCTGAGTCACACTAGAGTTGGCCCTCTTTGGAGCCCCAAGGATTCTAAGCATCCCAGTAGAAAGCCCTGGATTTGGGATTGGGAGTTACAGATTCCAAGTCTATTTTTATACTAACTTGATTTTGTGTAGTTGAAACATATGAAGGCCATAAAACCTTTATTGCTCCATGATACTCTTTGTTTTATTAGCTTGTCAGCCCAGTTATGTGAATAATGTGTTATAGCTTGGGCATCTATAAGCATATTCTAGAGATTCTCATGGCGTTTAATGATCACATTTGCTTACTCTACCTTATTTCCTTTGATGATCCTTCAATTTAATAAGGTGATGAGCATGCTAAGTGAGTAAATTACCAAATAAATATACATGATATTGTTTCAGAGATTGTACACTGGAATCTGTACTAAGTGTTCTCTTGAAATCATATCCATATATAAGAAATCTTCCTTTGTGAGTATTATTGGAATTTAATTGACACTTAGTGATATACATCATTGTCATTGTTTTACAAGATAATAAAACACAATAGAAATAATCTGGAAACTTGGTTAGGTTAACATAGAAAAACTGTCTTTACATTTTATTTTATTTTATTTATTTATTTATTTAAATTATTTTTGGTACCAGGCCACTGAACCACTGAGCTAAATACCTGGCCTTGTCTTTACATTTTAAACTATAATCAATACTGATAGTCTTCAAAAGCAAGTGAGGGTATTGTGGAATCATAATATTAATTTCTTTGTTCCAAGGTGAAAGCTGTGAGCCATTTTGTCAGTAGATAGGCTCTCAGCTTTTTAGTCATCAACTGCAATAATTCAGTTCTCCCCTCATCACTATCGCTCCCTGCTATGGTTTGTGTATATTCCCTTCGGGTTCACATGTTGGAAACTTTCCTCAGTTGGTGATGCTGGGAGATGATGGAACTGTTTAGAGTTGGTCCTAATGGGAGGGAACTTGGTTATTGGAGACACTTTCCTCAGAAGGACTTAATGTAGTTTTGTGAGAAGCCAATTAGTTCTCATGAGAGAGGGTTGTTAGAAAAGAGCAAGATTCACCACTTCTGACTTCCTGGCTACCTAGTCTTGCTGGGGTATTGCTCTCACAAGTGCCTCCACCATTGTAATGCCACCCACCATGAATCCCTCACCACAGCCTGAGTTGATGGGATCAGCTATTCTTGGACTCCCAGCCTCCAAAATTGCCAGCTAAGTGAACCCTGTTTCATTATAAAATGTATAGACTCAAATATTTTGTTATAGCAACGGAAAACAGACTTGTGTATTCTGATTTCCTCCAATTCCTCTGCTATTTACTCCTACTAAGTTTAAACTGGGGATGATAGAATAGATGTTGAGTGATAGGAAACCAGGGAAACCTAGATTCTCTGAATGCTAGGAATTTACTGAAAGGTCAGGGTGAAGTAGAATGAAACTAAGGAGAATACACGGCACTAGATTATACAGGCTTTTGAAATCATTTTGGCATAGAAAATTCATGCTACTCCCAGAGGATTTTGAATCATAAAAATGCAGCCTTTGAGTTGTGTCTCTTGGGTTTTCTGAACATCTCCTGGGGATGGAAACATTGAGCAAAGAGACTTTCCCAGATCCCCTTAGCCTGCCTGTAGCACGCAATGTTTCCTCTGCTATGAGATGGAGTCCCTATTGTGCGGGTACTTCACATTTCCAGTCTTAACCCCAAAATAACATGGCATGAGATTGTCTGGGGGAATTCCCTTAGTCTCCCCTTTTTGGGAAACCTAGGATCTGTCATCACCCTCTGTTTCCTTGTGGTTGACCTTGTGGGCTTAGTTCAGCCCTTATTTCTCATGGAAATGAGACAAATCATACTCATTTGCAATTTCTTCATCAGAGCCTCCTGAGATCTCCTGTCAGGAGGAACTGGATTTCTTTCATGTTGAACATTAGTCACACCCACCCGAGAATCTGAAACCTCCCTCTGCTCAACTAGATAAATGATCTAGGCTGTGTTAGAGCTCCATTATTGTTCTCGGATGCTAATGATTTGGTTCACTGGACTTAAGACCCTTCCTTGCCAGGTATAGCCCATAGCTGTGAAATCCCTCTGACTCTGAAGCCTTCTGTGCTTTGGAGATGAATAAGGGCTAGGGCCATGCTAAGATGACTGTGGGCTTTTTCTTGTGGGGACTTGGTGTCTCTCACTGTGGAATGGCTGGGATTTGGAAGAACCTCCTTGGCATGGACCCTCCCTTTCCCATGGACAGAGACAAATATAATGAAGAGAAGGGAGCTCTGACAGGAGGAGACACTGGCACCAGGGGCCTGACTTTTTAAGGTCAAATGTCATGCCTGTCATTGGGATTCCTAGGGGATAACATTCTTGCTGGATCTCTGGGTGGGGGATACTTCTGCTTGCTATCCCCTCTCTTAGACTTCCCTGAAGTCCTAGTTAGTGGCTTTTCTGACTAAAGGTTCGTATCAGGTCAGGTTATTATTATTATTATTTTAAAAAGAGCTTGAAGAACAGTGTCCTAGGAAGGTCTTAGCAATGTTGCCTGAGGCTTCTCTCTCCTATTTCTGTTCCCACAGGTGAAGAGCCAACCCTACTATGGAAAAGCCTAAAAACATTATTTATGGAGGTAATGTTGGGATGGGGCTTTGGTGACCTGGGTTACTTACAGTCACATCTGTGTCCTCTGGATACCCCAGTATCTCTGCCTCTACCTGTGTATGGTGCTGTCTACCTGCCCCTGGGCCACGGGCTTCTAGAGGGTGGGGGCCATTGCTCATTCATGGCTCTAGCTCCATTTCCCAGCATTGTTCCAAGCACAGAGCAGGTCCAAAAAAGAATAGCTGGTCCACATGTGCTGTGGGACTACTCATCATCCTCTGCCTTGATGGTTTTCCTTCTTACACCATTATTGACTTTGGTAACCTTTGCTCTCTTCAGTACAGCCAATAGCTTTACTGGATAGGAAGACTAGGCTGATGGATTTCTTCTTCCATATTGATGGTCTTCTATACTGAAGGACCAAGATTAGGTGATTTTTCTCTTGAGTGAAGAAGCTTTAGTCTTCATGTTTCTTCATTATTTTCCATCCAACCAGCAAGAGATGTCCCACAGCTTGGAAAGATCTCTGATTTGGATCAGCAGGTGTGGATCCTTCAGGGTCAGTCACTTGTGACAGTTCCACGGAGTAATAGTGTGGCATCAGGTGAGTGCTCATCCTGTGGCTGTTCCACATTTCATTTTGGTATTGACCTTTTGTTAAAGCATAAGTACTAATGCTTGATTGCACTCTATAGGGTAACTAAAGTTAATAGTGATGTATATTACAAAATAACTAGAAAAGTAGTTTTGAGTACTCTCACCTCAAAGTAATGATAAATGCATGAGGTAATGGATGTGTTAATATCCCAATTTGATCATTATTACATTGGATACAAATATATAAAATCATCACATTGTACCCCATAAATGTTTACAATTATAATGTGTGGAAAAAGCCTAGATTTCAATGAGGTATACCTAGAAGGGACAGAATTTCTCATCTGGCTGGGAAGAGAAGTCACTGAAGAGGTTAGTAGGTTAGTTACTCTTAGATTATGATAAAGAAATCAGATTTTGTAGAGGAGCCTTCTAGGGACTAAAAGAATTGCATTCTGATCTGAAGCAGCTGATCCATCCTATGGTAGAGAATTAGCTTGTTCTATTTGACCTCAAGTTATCCTAAAAAGACTAAATGGGTGTGTAACACAGGAAGACACATTTCAAAATCACAATAGGCAGAATTTGCTAATGGACAGAGCTCTCTGGGAATCAGAGGTAGGAGCTTCCTATTTCCAAGTGTTCAAGTACAGGTGTGAAAATCTCAAAGGCAGAGCCTGCCATTTGCTTAATTTTCCTTGCTCCATTTACTAAGGTAATGATTTTCCTTATGGGATGGATGGATGAGTGCATGGACTGATATGGTTGTTGGCCATTTGGTGAATCTGGGTTAGCAAGAATTACATTCTTTTTGCATCTTCCAGATCCATTTGGAATATACCACTTTAGAAATATCAGAAATAGGACTAGTCCACTTTCCTGACTCCAAAAGGAAACTGACCCCTCTCCTGCTTTTATCTCTGTAGTTACTGTCACTGTTATGCCATGCAAGTATCCAGAATCCCTTGAGCAAGACAAGGGGACTCCTATTTATCTGGGGATCCAGAATCCAGATATGTGTCTGTGTTGTGAGAATGCTGAAGGAAAACCCACATTGCTGCTGAAGGTCTGTGACTAAGAAAAATACCATTTTAAAAAGCCAATTTTTCTTTATAAGAGTTTTTTTGATAGATCTAATATAATAAAAAAGATATTTTTTGAGGAGTATTCATTCCTAATTCCTACTGAGTAATATGCATCCAAGAGACTTTAATTTATCCTGCCCTTTACTGGTTGAGAACTTTTGTCTTCCTTAAATTTTGAGATGTTCTCAGTCATTGTTTCTTCAATATGTTCTCTATATAATTCTGCCATATCTTTTTCTTTGGAATTGCTAGTCACCATTCAGGAATTCTTAGATTTCATTTCAGTATCTGATACCCTCTCATCTGATTTGCCACACTTTCTACGCTTCACTTTTTATTTTTTGTTTGTGGTGCATTCTAGAAGAATTTCTCGGCTCAATCTTTTACTTCATGATAACATTTTCAATCTTGTCTCCTAAATCATCCAAGAGCATTTTTTTAAAGTCAATTTTTACTCTTATTTTCTGAACTCTCTGGTTCACTTTATATAGACATATTTATCTATACAATATATATATATATATATATATATGTACATATGTAACTGAGTTTGTATATGTATTTGTTCTTATTCTATTAACTTTAATTCTTCATTTAACTTTTAAAGTCAATTTTTACTCTTATTTTCTGAACTCTCTGGTTCACTTTATATAGACATATTTATCTATACAATATATATATATATATATATATATGTACATATGTAACTGAGTTTGTATATGTATTTGTTCTTATTCTATTAACTTTAATTCATTTCATTTAACTCAATCCAATTCAGTTCATCAAATGTGTGCATACTTAAGTGGCTTCTAGCACCATATATGTTCTTGAAATATGTCCTGGAACAGATGGCAAAGAGCCCTAACCTCACAGAGCTTTAATTCTGGTGGGAGGAGAGAAATGGCAGATAATATACACAGTAAACATGTTAGTGGGTAAATCTGTGATGTGTTACAGGGTGTCTGTCTCTTTGAAGGGAACAATTAGAATAAGATAAGAAGACTGCCAAGAACGGGTGCCAAGAACAGGTGGAGTCAGGCTGCAGTGGCGAGTAATACAGTAGGCATCACTGTGATGGTGAAATCTTGGCAGAGAGAAGGAGGCAAGAGAATGAGTCAGCAGGGCATCCACTGAGTGCAAGTCCCAGGCAAGTAAAGGCAAGTGTGTGGGATTGAAATTAGGAGGGCGGAATTCAGAGAGAGAAAAACAGACCAGGAAGGGCATATTGTTTCTGTTAGGACTGGGCCTTGTGATCTCAGTGAAATGATTTGAAAGAAGAAAGACATGAATGGACTTCTGTCTAAAAAAGAATCATACTCACTTCACACAGGCTGTTGGGATAGTGATGCAAAAATAACACAGAATATAATAATGCAGATATAACCCAGGAATGAGGTAATGATGAGTGACAGATGGGATTTGAAATCTCTGGGAGGATGTTCAGTGAAGTTCTCTCCAAGGAAGGGATGTCTGGGATAAGTCCTGAGTAATAGGAAGGAGATAACCTGTGCAAGTGTGGGGCTGTTGTGTCCAGGTAGAGTAAGTACCAGGGTCCTGGGTAGGTCTTGAGGAGGAGAAAGAAGACAGGTAGAGCAGGAACAGAATCAGCATTTAGAGTAGTAAGATGTAAAAGCAGTGAGATAGGCAAAAGCTGGGTGGTGTAGACCCTGAAGGCTTTGATGAAGAGTTTGGATTTCATGGTAATTACAGCAGAAAATCATGTAAGAAATGTAAGCCAAGAAAAAAAACATGACTTTATTTCCTATATTTATTTCAGATTAAAGTTTGCTCAACTACTTTGTGGAGAATGATTGATTCAACAGAAAGAGTTAGGAAGTCGCCATGATCATCTGGGGCAGAGGGGAGATGGCTCGTGTTGGGGCTTGGCAGTGTAAGTGCAGTTGAGAGGAGGGAGAAGCAGCTTGACGCAGAAAATGTTTTGAGTTTACAGGACTTGCTGCTGGGTTAGATATTGGGTGATCAAAAAAAAGAGGTACCAAGGAAAACTCCTAGGATTTTGGCCACCCAAAGAGTCACATAAATAGCTGAAAATGATTAACTGAATAAAGGAATCCTGAGGGAGAAGAAATTCTTCACTCAGGATGGAATGTGGCTGAATTATAAAGACCATTCCAGTTTTTTTGAGATCTTATACATATGTGATTTACTTACAAAAATTTATTTTACCTAAATATGCAATATATGCATATACATCATGCACACATAGTCATACATTTATATAATATTAAAGATATTTTTTATTGCTCTATTTACTTTGTTTCTTTGGGTGCAAAAGCTTTGATTTGTTAGATATTTTAATTTCTATTTCATAATGTTGATCTTTCTCATATGTTCTGCAATTGTCTAGAAACAAAAGCCTTCAACCTAGCTGTCCTTTGCTGAAACAGTTGCCCTTACAGGGTGATGGCTCTCACTGTCCTTGCTTTGGTAAGGGAAGTCCTTGGCTTTCTTATGCAGACTTTTGTCTTAGTCTTGAGGGATTCCTTCAGCCCTTCATGTGAGAAGAGAGACAACTGACTGTTAAAACATGGCTGCTTGCTCAATAATGTGTCCTTTATCCTTTTTATGACAACCTGCCCCTTGTATTCTTTCTGTGACAAACTCTTTGGATTTGAGGGTAAGGTTGGGAAGATGAAATGTTATGTGTTTGCTTTGATGCTCCTTTGAAATACATTTTTCTAGTCCAGCTAATGTGAATAAATTTTTCCTGAACTTTAGAATGTCTATTGGATGTTTGCAAATAACTTGAATATCTCAAAAAGCTTTCATTTCTCCCATGAATAATCTCTTTCACATTTCAGGAGAAGAATATTTTGGATCTGTACAATCAACCTGAGCCTGTGAAGCCCTTCCTTTTTTACCGCTCCTATGTAGGGAGCACCTCCACCTTCGAGTCTGTAGCCTTTCCTGGCTGGTTCATCGCCTCTTCCAAGAAAGATGGCCTTATTTTCCTCACTTCAGACCAGGGAAAATCATACAACATAAACTTCAATTTACATATAGAAGCTTGAACTCAGCTTGGAGATGGTAGCTTGTTCAGAGGTCCTTAAATTTTCAAGGTTCCCGCATGTGTCACCTGTATGATCTTGGTGCTATTTTCACAGCAGTGCTGAGAAATGAGCAGGCTGTGGTCAACATCTGTATTCTGGATGAAGAAATAATGACTTTGTGGCCACGGGAGGCCAGAATATGGACTGAGAACAGGGATGGGCGGTGTGTGGCTTTCCTTTTTAGCAGAAGCTATGCAGCCCACAGGATATGCATGAGAAACAGTGCCCTGTGAAATGGTTAATGAAACCCTGTGAATAGCAACACCCTGATTTTCAGGTGATTGGTCTTGTCCCTATCTGTATTTTATCTTTATGTTTGAGTTGTGTGAAATCCATGATGACATTTAATGAAAATGTGGTTCCTTTGGACCTTTAGAAGCTGGGCTCCATATAGGGCTGGGTATACCAGGACAGAGACTTTTGGATTTTGGGAGGAACAATTGTAGAGTGAAGAGTTACTCTAAGTATACTGAAATGCAATGTCTGCTTCTGGAGCTGGACCTAAAAACACTGCCTATTAACTCAGGGACAACTGCACACAGGGCTGGAGACATTGCTTTTCCCTCCACTCTCAGGGAATGATGAAGAAGGATTATAATTAAGAATACCTGGCAATAGACATCAACTTTTGTTGCTTAGGCTTTAAAAAGGTTTTAAGATTCTTGACAAAACAGTGCATACTTATGTTTGAAAGCAATCTTTCCTGCCCCAGTCCTATTTCTTTCCATGTGGAGGCTTCTCTGTTTTGTTTTTTGTTTTTTTTCCTTTTTTCTTCCTGTCTAGGTATGTGGTTTTGCTTTCATTTCACAAATTACCAATTTTAGGCATTATTTTTCTACCAAATAGATGCCGTTTACATCTCCACTGAACAAAAGTTATATTGCTGCTCTTCATCTATTTTCTGAAAATTAATAGCAGGCTCTGAGTCAAGCAAAGTGGTTCTTACAGACAGTGAATTACCCTCATGAGTTTAAATGCCTGTTAGACAATGCTCCAGGGTGATTTTTTAGTCTTCCTTTCAGGATTTGGATAATTTTAATTAATGGCATTACCTCTTTCAGCTTTTTTGTTTTATGTGAGGAGAAAGGGAGGAACCTGGTGTGGACAAGATTTTCTAAGGGTGGCATTAACATTTAGTAGTAGAACTGGAAATAATGACACTCTTGATTTTTGGTCTTTAAATTTCTGTCCACTGGATGTTATGAAACACTGTGTGAGAAATCAGCAACATTCTCCTGAGCAAGATGGGTTAGCAAGTCACAGCCATCTCATTCCCATCATTTGGGCTGTCCTTATCAAGAGTGTTAGCAGATGGCCCACCCAGGGCGTAACACCCTTGGCCACCTAACCATCATTATATACCAATGACATAAGTGCTGAAATGTATTTATTGCATACAGTGATTCTCAAATTTGAGTATTAGAATCACCTGGGGTGTGCACTAAAGCCCTAGGGGCTCCACGCCTAGTAAATTAAATCACCTCTCTTAGAAATTGTAACTTATTAGGTTTAGGGTGGGGCTTAATAATCAATATTTTGCCAAGGATCTTAGGCAATCCTAATTGATGAACCAAATATGGGAAATAAAAAGAATCTGATATTTGGGATAATCTGTGTGCTTCTACAGAAATAAAAAGGTGTTAAATGTATGTACTGCTTGCTTACTTTGTTGATATTTACTTTAAGGTTTTTTTCTGTTGAGTGATGTGTGCCAGTGAATTGAACAAAATTTGTATAACATGTGTTTAAGTCTTCAAATATAATTTCATAATAGTCCAGAGTTAGAAAGAATCATGTTTCCATCAAGCAGTAAATGGATAAATAAGTCCTGTGTATTTGATATTAGTAACTAATAAAAAGAGATTAGTGATAGAGATTAAACAAGGTGAATGTTAAAAATTGTTACTGAGGATAGCAGACACAAAGTGTACGTGTTGTATAAGTTAATTTATACAAAATTCAAGAGTAGGCAAAAATAATCTTTGATGATAGGAATTGAAACAGTGGTTGCTTTGGCAAGGAAAGAACAAACTTTCTTAAAAGCTACCATAGAGCTAAAACTGGAGATGAAAAGATAAGAAACCCACAATGGCTTTCCCCTCCATACAGCAGCACAGTAAGCCAGAAATCATTGGAATAATGCTTCCTACTTTGTGAAGTAAAAGGATTTCCACTGTAGAATTCATACCCAGACAGTCTATTAATTATGAGTAAGAGAAACTATTTTCAAAGATGAAAAGTTTATTTTCATGCACTTTGCCTGAGAAGTGGGCATAGAATGTGCTCTGCCCAAACAAGACATTAAACTAAACATTTTTTCATATATTTATTGGCTATTTCTACTTCTTTATCTGAGAAATGTCTGTTTATTTCAGATGCCCATTTTTGGATTGGGTCTTTAAATTTGGGAGATCTAATTTTTTTTAAAGTTCTTTATATATTTCAGATAGTAGACCTTTGTCTGAAAGTGTAAATAAAGACTAAAAGATATAACAGATAACGTGAAATAGAAAATAAAAAGGCGCAAATGGGAAGGGGAAATGAGAGGGGTCAGGGAAGAGAAAGAGGGGAATGGAATTAATATGAGAAAAAGAAAAAATGGAAATAAAGACTTTGTAGCTAGGAAGGGGTGGAAGGGTTGAAGGGAGGGAAGGGGAATGGGGAAAAAATAAGAACCAAGATGGATTACGTAAAGGTGCAAATTTCCAATGATAAACGTCATTTTATTATATACCTTAAACGTGCCAATACAATTGATTTTTTAAAATTAAAAAAATCCAAGAGACTAAGATAAGACAAAAAATGTGGACTCTTTGTGACTCTTTGAAGCAGGGAATCTTTGCCAGAGAAAAGCAGTATATACCTGTAGTACAATGGTAGTTGGAGATCTTAACAGGCAGCCAGGCAGAGTGAAGAAGTTGGAGGCCCGAGGGTGGGGGCAAACAAGCTAGAAGACAGCATGCCTTATGTGTTTAAATGAATTGGGAAGAGGTTCTGACAGCAGGAAATATCCAGGGGATAATAAACTCCACAGAAAAAAATAAGCAAAAATAAAACAAAGTTAAGACAGTATTTCCTTCCAGAGAAAATATTAAATTATTCACTTAAGGAACTCTAAACAAAGCTTACTATGTGGCCCAAGACAACAGTGTTTAGACTGCAATAATAATTTAAACTTGGTATGGTGATCTATCCAAAATTTTGTAAATATTTTGGGACTGTATGTGGGTGGATAGATGTGTGTGAGTGCATAAGGGACCTGGTGAGTTATGTAAGAAAGAGTTCAAATTTTTATCTTTCATGAAAATACATCTACACATAAAGGCTAAACTGAAAAATCAATAAGCAGCCATATACACAATATTATGAGATCTGGAGTTGTGTGCAAAAGCATTTGAGAGTTAAAAGTGGTTGTAGCAGGAAATAGTGACTTTTCTGTTTTGTAACAAAAACTCACATCACTCATTGACTTTTAAAATTACTTGCAAGCATAATTTTGATAAATCTTAGAAAAAAAATCCCCACTTCCATATTGGCTAGGTTGTGTTTTGAGGAGGGAATGTGATATTTAGCTAAATACATGAGCTGCCAGGAGGCAAAATTCCACATACAAGCATTATTTCTTACTACTCTGTAGTTTCCCTCTATTTTATGAGTTGGAACTCAAAAGCAGTGCCAGAGCTAAAAGGTGGATAAGCACATGTCATTCCCATGGCAAGGAGTGGAGGGCATAGAAAGGCCAGTGCTCAGAGCTACAGTGGTGAGTCACCCCCACTCATACGTTTGTGTGAGCCAACTTACTAAAATGGGTTATTATGGTTTGTGTGACCTCTTCTCAGGGACTGATGAATCCTGAGAAAACAGAGGCTGCATTTAAGTGAGGCTTTTGTTCTTGGGACTGGGAAGATCAGAGCCCAAAAGACTGATACAGTTTTTAATTTTTGTACTATATGGAGTATAGGCTGTATCTATGGTCTTTGAATGTACTGATGCTGTCAAGTACGTCAGTTGTCTAGCCCTAAACATTTGAATTTAAAGTAATTGTGTGTTGTCATTGGTACTTTGCCTGTTTTAAGCAAACTGATTGTTAATTTTGTGCCAAGGCTGGAGGCATGGACTGGGGAAGTGGCCATTTCTTCCCCGAGTAAGTTTATTGGTACATTTAAAGCAAGCAATACAGTTACATTTATCATTGGGATCTTGGACCTTTACATGATATGTCTTGGTTCTTATTTTTTCCCATACCTCGGCCCTCTCTTTGCCCCTTTCAGCCTTTCCTATTTACAGAGACTTTGTTTCCATTTTCCTTTTTTCACATTTTTTTCTTTTCCCCTCCCAGTCCCACTTCCCCTTTAGCCATTTTTAGTAACCCCCTTTTTTTTTTTGCTCTGGAAGGATGTACCATCATTCTGTAGAGGCACAGCGACACTCAACAACCCGCCACACAAAGAGAGGTCCAACAGGAGATTTTATTAGAGAAGGTAGGTTAGGGAAAGAGGAGAGAGAAGAAGAAGAAGAGAGAGAAGAGGAGAACAAAGAAAGGAAGGTCCTTTTATTGGTTTTGGGCTGTGCTATTGCTTATTTATGAGGAGTGGGCTATCACAGGTCAGGTTGCCCTTTATGCGTTTGGTCCTGAAGAAATAGGTTTAACCTCTGTGGCCTTGGGGGGAAGGGAAACTAAAGATAAGAGCATGAGGTCTTTAAAAGCCAAGAAGCACCAGGAAAATTCTGGCTGCTGTGATGGCAGCGTCAGGTCTCTAACACATTCCTTCTGTGAGACATTGTCCTGAGGTTTCCTCAGCTGGGGACCAAGTATATAAAGAGGGACTAAGTGTTTTCTCTCCTCATGAGCTCATGTATTTAGATTGTAATAGCACATATTTCCATTTATGACATCCTGAAAAGTATTATATTTTTCATTTTTGTAAGAGATTGAGCCCGAGAGGTTCCCCAGTGAGTACATTTGGAATGTAGATCCACCCTATCTGCAGAATAAGTTTGCTGGAACATGATACAGAAAATTTTTCAGGACTAGCTACTAAGAGGTGCAGAAAAAATTGATGCAGGAAAGAAAAGGACACATTCAAGAATGTGCATGGATGTTCAGAGAATGTGATACATAGTCTATGGATAGTTATATGTTGGGGGCACTTGGGGGTGGGATGTATAGAACTGGTATGGAAAGATGAGATGAAACATGACGCCCCTTTCCCTAAGAGAAAGGTGAAGACCCATTCACCGGTGAAGGGTGAAGGAACTGTAGTCATCCATAAGGGCAGAGGCTCATTTTGCAGGTGAAAAGAAATTACCAATGCCTATTTACAGGACAAAAAGAGAATGGCCAAGGCCTATTTACAGGTAAATGAAATGGCCAAGGCTCATTTATAGATAAAAAGAGAATGACCCAGGCTTATTGAAACTGGGGAAAAAATTTAACTGGGTTTGGGTCCTGAAGCTGCAGCTTTTATTAAAATTATCATTTTAAAACTGTTATTTATTTTGTCTCCTTTCTGCCTATCATTAGTTTTTGTATTCTACCTATTATCCACCTCTCCCTGACTTTGATCCCTTTTCTTAAGGGAGGCGGAAGGGCCACAGGTCATCTTCTTATAATTTCTTCAGGCTGAGGAGGGGCCATGACCCTGCTTAGCCAAGGATTAAAAATATTGTCCTGACTTACCTAAGAAGGCATAGGAATATCAGGTTCCATTTTTTGAGGAACCATCATTCTTCAATAATTGGAAAAAGGACAAAGGCATACATGACATTAGCCCCAAACAACATTACATCAGGCAACATAAAAGAATTTCTATGAATCATAGTTGAAAAATCAGAATTTTTTCTCAGTAGGTTATTCCACAGAGCCAGGATATCAGTAAGTCATTGAAGCTTAAGGAAGAGACTGATGTTGCATTGATTTGTGAATGTAGATTTTGTAATGAAGAAGACACATCTGTAGAGTTGTGAGAAACCTATACACAACATTCCATTTTGATAATAGCATAGGTTACACCTTGTGCTGAAGTTAGAATATCTAGGTCCATTCAATTTTATAAAATGTCTCTTATCTTTTTTACTTCAGAAATTAGTAATTGAATCCCCTCTGTACTGTCATTTAGGACACTGCATATTTGGCAAAAAATATCATATGTCATATGACATCTTCAAAACCTGCTTGGGGAGTAAAGATGGAAGCTAAGTGATCACACCAGTAAAAACTGATTTGGTTCATTGATGGTGCAAGATAGGGGGCTAGTTGGTTGATCTAAGGTTTTATTTTCTTTTTTTTCTTTTTATTGAGTTTATTGGTACAATCTAGGTATACAATACAATTCCATTCATCATTGGGATTCTGTACCTTTACATAATAGGTCTTGATTTTCATTTTTCCCTTTGTCCCTGCCCTCCCTTCACCCCCTCTTCCCCTCCCCATCTACAAACACTTTATTTCCATTTGTTCAGTTTCTCATATTTTTTTCCTCTCCCTTATTACCTTTCCCCCACCCTTTCCACTTTCCCTACACCTTTAGCTCTTTACTTCCTACTTCACATTATTAATTGTCTCATTAGGATCCTGTGTACTATTATAGTTTTTCACACCAAAGAAACTATTTGGTAAAGAAATCTCTGTATGAATATTAAAAATAGGGAATCCTAAAATAAAACTAAAAAGGAAAGTAAAAGAGAAAAGGCAATGATGTAAGATTAAAATAATCCTTATTTCTGGAGATGAAAATGGTCCCTGAACATATTTAAATTGCTTCTTGCTCTTATAGTCTTATCTTATTCTTTTTTTCATTATTTAGAGAATACTTTATTAGTTTCTGTAATCAAACCCACATAGATATAACTTTACATATTTAGTACGATGTGTTACCCCTGTACACATAGAAAAAAAACAAAATAAAAATAAAAATAAATTAACATTTCTAGACCAATATGGTTGTCCATTTATGTTCAATGCCAA